AAAAAAAAAAAAAAAAAAAAAAAAGAAAGAAAGAAAAAAAAAGAAATATGACTGAATTTAGACTTGATCTTAGCCAAACTGTCAAGAAGCAATATATGATTGGATTTAATACAGCTTTTTAAGAACATGTAACATGTATTACGTAAATAAGAGCAGACCTAAAGAAAAGGTAGGGAGCCAAAAAGAAGTAAATAATTTTCCCAGGTCTTACAACCAAACTTATTTTTGCATTATCTTTGCACCTTACTTATCCTTCTAAACTTTAGCTTAGTTTTGCACTGTCACAAAGACTAGTTGATCCTAAATGATGTCCATCCTTCTAGAAGGCAAGAGAACATGTCCACTTAGCTGTCTTCAAATCTACCTAAACTCAAGGGTAAAAGTATAAGGGACATGCCCAATAGGACAGCTATAGCTTTAAAAAGACAGTAACAAGTATTGGTGAGGATACAGAACAACTAGAACCCATATTTTACTGGTGGGAATGTACAGTAGCACAGCCACTTTAGAAAACAGTTCCTTGAAAAGTTAATTTATCAAAATAACACCGCAATTACACTATTAAGTATATACCAAGAGAAATGAAAACATACATTCCCACAAAAATTTGCATACAAATATTCACAACAGCATTATTCATAAAAAGCCAAAAAGTAGAAACAACTCAAATGTACAAAAACTGATGAATGAATAATAAAATATGGTCTATCCATACAATAGAATATTTTTCAGCTATAAAAGAGAATGAAGTACTGATATATGGATGAGTGAATGTTGAAAACATCATGCTAAATGAAAGAAGTCAGTTTCAAAATGTTGCATATCATATGATTTCACTTATATGAAATGTCCAAAATAGGCAAATCTACAGAGACAAAAAGTGGATTAGTAGTTTGAGAAGAAGGGAAGAGAGGGAAGGAGAACTGACTGCTAATAGGGACAAGCGTTTCTTTTAGAGAAGACAAAAATGTTCTAAAATTAAATTGTGGTGATGTTTGCACAATCCTGTATATATACTAATAAAAAACCACTGAATTGCACAATGAGTTGTACATAATGTGGACTCTATTCCAATGAAGCTGTTTGGTTTGGTTTTTCAGAGACAGCATCTCACTATGTTAGCCAGGCTGGTCTTGAACTCCTGGCCTCAAGAGATCTTCCTGCCCTGGGCTTCCAAAGCAATGAGAGTAGAGGAATGAGCCACCATGCCCATCCTGTGTGTGTGTGTTTTTTTTAAAGATGAGAGATATAATTCTTCATTACTAATGATAAATCAATATAACTAATTAAAATCACCATCCTATTTTTTTGCCGGGACAAAAATTTACCCAGTTGCTTAAGACAGAAACCTAGGAAGCATCCTAACTTCTTCTCTTTCACCTATTACTTCTAATTAATGACCAAGTTGTATCCATTCTATTATTGATTATCGCTTGAATTCACTTTTCTCTAACCTTACACCCTAGTTAGGGTGGTCTACACCTGAGGCGAGCAAACTTATTCTGTAAAGAGTCAAGCAGTAAATATTTTAGGTGTTGTGAAAAAATTGAAGATGTAATATAGGTACTTATATAACAGATTTCCACAAAAAATATTACTGAAGAAATGTTAAATATGCTAATAGTAATAATTTTTTATAAGTTGACTAATAAAAATATAATTATTTTAGAGGCAGAAAATAGTTCACTTAATTGGAGTTCAAAGTTAGTATTCCCTATCATTCAAATTGATAGCAACTGTTCATCTGTCAATGTTGATCTGCCATTACATTTTATGTATTTTAACTGAAAATGTTTTTCACAGATGAAGAGGTTGAAGATACAGAGCAGACAGAATAATCTAGAGTACATATGTAAAAACTAATCTTTCATAAAGGAAGGATACCTGCAGATGCAGGCAGATTTACAGATCTAGAAGCAGAAAGCTAAAGGACTATTTATTTGATACTATGTACTGTCTCAGAGGAAAAGCATCTACTGGAGTGAGAAGGGGAGAGGTAAAGGGTGGGACAAAGTGCAGGGCATACTGCATTTTTTTTGTTTTGTTTTTTGAGACAGAGTCTCATTCTGTTGCCCAGGTTGGAGAGCACTGGCACAATCTCAGCTCACTGCAACCTCTGCTCCCGGGTTCAAGCGATTCTCCTGCCTCAGTCTCCCGAGTAGCTGGAACTACAGGTGCACACCACCACACCAGGCTTTATTTATTTTTTTATTTTATTTTATTTTATTTTTAGTAGAGACGAGGTTTCACCCTGTTGGCCAGGCTCGTCTCAAAACTCCTGACCTCATGATCCACCTGCCTCAGCCTCCCAAAATGCTGGGATTATAGGCATGAGCCACCGCACCTGGCCAGCATACTGCATTTTAAGTAAAATAAGTAAATTTGAAATAGTTCTAATAGAATAGGAGCTAAAGGTAACTAAAGAAACATGACTGTCAGACAGCACTGAAAGTCCAGTTGAGGCTGGTTAAACATTTATGATTGTACTACATACTTAAAACTGTCTAGCTTTTTGACTTTTATCCATTAGTGTACAGCTACCCAAGCAGAGCCACATGGTGGACAGCAGAATTCATATAAGGCAGAATACAGAAGAGTACACAGGAAGGACAGCGGCACAAAGGAATTTAAGGTATATGCTAGACGGCCAGCCACAGTGGCTCACACCTGTAATCCCAGTACTCTGGGAGGCCAAGCTGGACAGATCACTTGAGGTCAGGAGTTTGAGATCAGCCTGGCCAGTGTGGTGAAACCCTGTCTCTACTAAAAATACAAAAATTAGCCAGGCGTGGTGGCACGCGCCTATAATCCCAGCTACTCAGGAGGCTGAGGCAGGAGAATTGCTTGAACCCAGGAGGCGGAGGTTGCAGTGAGCCAAGATCATGCCACTGCACTCCAGCCTGGGTGACAGACTGAGACTCCATTTCAAAAAAAAAAAAGAAAAAAAGGGTATATGATAGAGAGCAGACAAAATCTAAGTTAAATGGGGAAGAAAAATGACAGAAGACAGCTGATGAACAGGGACAAAATGGATCAATATATAAGAAGATATAATTATGCAGAAAAATAATTGAAAGAACAAGAAATATACTTCTCTTTATCTTTCATTAATTTAAGGAAATAAGGCAAATATATCTTCTATGCTATGATAATCTCAGTAACTATAAGTGAAATAGGTATAAGCATGAAAGACTATGTACAAGAATATTTTCGACAATACAGGTTGAGTATCCCTTAATATACAGGATGCTTGGGGTCAGAAGTGTTTGGATTCTGGAATACTTGCATTATATTTATGCCAGTTGAGCATCCCAAATCAGAAAATCTGAAGTCTGAAATGCTCCTATGAGCATTTCCTTTCAGAGTCTTGTCAGTACTCAGTAAGTTTCAGATTTCAGATTTGGGAAGCTCAACCTGTGTAAGTTATAACACTGATATAATGAAGATAACCTAAAAGATCATCAAAAGAAAAGTTAGATAAACTAGTATATCCAAGTTATGGAATACTACATACTGACTTTGGAAAGAGAATAAAGTAAATCAAAAAATGATTAGCAGTCTCATGGGCCCCTTCTGCTAGGCCCCAAATGACATTCAAGACCAAAGACTTTGATATTTATGTGTAACTCAGGGCTAATTATAATATATTGCATTATTAAGAATTGCTAAAAATTTGTATGCATAAACTAAAATTGGCACATTTCCAGTTTACTGAGGACTCTAATTTAGTATTCTACTAAAAAGTCTCAGCCAGGCACAGTGGCTCACGCCTGTAATCCTAGCAGTTTGGGAGGCTGAAGAGAGTGGATCACCTGAGGTCAGGAGTTCAAGACCACACTGACCAACATGGTGAAACCCCGTCTCTACTAAAAATACAAAATTAGCTGGGCGTAGTGGCACATGCCTGTGCCATACCAGCTACTCAGGTGGCTGAGGCAGAAGAATCGCTTCAGCCTGGGAGGCACCACTGCATTATTGCCTGGGCAACAGAGCGAGATTCCATCAAAAAAAAAAAAAAAAAAAAAAAGTGCCACTACATGGTGTTGAGCATGATGACTCATGCCTGAAATTTTAGCACATAGGAGGCAAAGGCAGGAGGATCACTTAAGCCCAGGCGTTAAGGCTGCAGTGAGCTATGATCACACCACTGCACTCCAGCCTGAGCACAAGAGCAATACCCTGTATCAAAAAAACAAAAACAAACAAAAAGGTCTGACTGCATACAACACTCGCATATATAAACACAGATAGTTGGAATTCTCACAATTCTCAGATAAAATGCTTTGACAGTGTATCATCATACATGTTTTGATCTGTTTTTCATTGTTTCTATTTCAATTAAAATATTAGGAAAATCAGGGCAGGCGCAGTGGCTCATGCCTGTAATCCCAGGACTTTGGGAGGCTGAGGCGGGAAGATCACCTGAGGTCAGGAGTTCAAGATCAACCTGGCCAACATGGTGAAATCCTTGTCTCTACTAAAAATACAAAAATCAGCCAGGCATGATGGCAGGCACCTGAAATCCCAGCTACTCGGGAGGCTGAGGCTGGGAGTAAGAGAATCGCTTGAATCCAGAAGGCGGAGGTTGCAGTGAGCCAAGATCTCACCACTGGACTCCAGCATGGGCAACAGAGCAGGACTCTGTCTCAAAAAAAGAAAAAAGGTAAAATTATTGTTTAGTTTTCCTTTTTTTAGTCATTTTGTTCTTACATTTTTTGAGCATTGTTTCAAATTTTATTATTTTATTTCTCTCCATTGTAATTATTATCACCCCCATAAGAGGATAGAAAACAGAAAGTATCTGAGAACCATTGCTCCAAGGGAAAAAAGACTTCTCTCTGCTTTTCTTATTCTACCCTCAAGAAAGTGGACACCTGAAACTGGACTGAACAAGTTCAAGGACATTCACTATGTAATGTAAATGCATGTTTGTTGTGACGGTTAATCTGAGTGTCAATTTGACTGGATTGAAAGATACAAACTATTAATCCTGGGTGTGTCTGCATGGGTGTTGCCAAAAGAGATTAACATTTGAGTCAGTGGGCTGAAGAAGGCACATCCGCCCTTAATCTGGTGGGCACAATGTAATAATCTTCCAGTGAATATAAAGCAGGCAGAAAAACTTGAAAAGGCAAGATGAGCCTAGCCTACCAGCCTACATCTTTCTCCCATGCTGGATGCTTCCTGCCCTCAAACATCGGACTCCAAGTTCTTCAGTTTTGGGAGTCGAACTGGCTCTCCTTGGTCCTCAGCTTGCAGACAATCTATTGTGGAACCTTGAGATCTTGTAAGTTAATGCTTAATAAACTCATATATATCTCCTATTAGCGCTGTCTGTCTAAGAGAACCCTAATAACATTTGTTCTCTTTCTTGAGATTTCTTCTAAGTCTCTTGCTCTGAAGTTGAAACCTCCTGTAGTCTCCCTAACCATAAGAAAGTAGGCAAAAACCAGAGTGAGACAAAGAGGAATGTGTGACACTCTGCCACCCAATTCAGGCAAAAGGAAACTTCTCCGTTCCATGCCATCTAATTCAGCTTACCAAAGCTATACAAAAATTAGAGAACTCCCCACAAATAATAAAGTCTTTCCCTGCTTTTGTCTTCTCTGTGTATATTTTCACCAAGATTTCTAGAGATAAATGAGGAACAATGAGCAGCACTAAAATTCAACAATCCAGAGTCTTGATTATCTAACTCTCATTCACTCAACAAATGCTTACTTGGTACATCCAATGTGCCAAACACTATGTATGTACTGGAAATAGAAAGGTGAACCTTACAGATGTGAATCCTGTCTTCATGGAGTTTACAGTCTAGTGGAGAAGACAGAATTTAACAAATAAAATTAAAAATATGTATATCTCATTATGGGCTATGATAAATGCAATAAGAAAAAATATACAAAGCTATGACCATCTCTTTCCCTGTATCATCAATTTGGAAACAGGATTAAGTTTCTTGTTCTATTTTAAAAAAGAAAAGGTTCACAATTCATATAATGTAAACTTACAGCTTCTCTGCCAATGAGTGGATAAAAAGGGGTACCAAAAAGTTTCCTTCCATTGATAAATGCTTTCATGATGAAATTGGTCACTGTTAAAGAAAGAAAAAAACCATAAAAATGCAAACATTAATGTGTCAAAGTTTTAAAATCAGAGAATCTCTATATTTAAAACTTACTCTTTCTAGAAACTCCAGCACCAAGGTTATGATTCAAGTCAAAAGGGTCTATAAAACAAATATATCAATTATTAAGAATTACATTCACTGTACCATAAAAATGTACTTAGTAGACATTACTAAAGTCTAATACTTATATGTACTCAGACTATACAAATCAGCAAATTATTCCTCTAAAATTACACATTAAGGGATGAAAACTGATACAAATCAAAAGGAAGAATCTTCCAAATCCTAATGTATTTCAGTTTTTCCCTCAATTTCCTTGGCTAAATTTTGGTTATTCCTGAATTAGTATCAGCTTAAATTACTACCTTCAATTGCAATGCACTTGGATGTCCACTGCTTCTCAAAAGTTGTCAAAAGCTTTTTCTGCCGAATGCTAATTACATATTCCTTGAAATCAAACTCTTCAGTATAGAAACGAAGCAGTCCCAACCAAAGCTCCCCTAATGATTCTGTGTTCTTTCCAAGTGAAGGTAAACGCTTTTTCTACATATAAAAAAAAGAAAAGAACAGAACAATGTCTATACAGTACTATCCAAAATATGGACAGCAAACCCAAGTAAAATTATTAAATTATACAAATCCTAACACATATCAGTGAGCATTCTACAACATAAAGACTATTTTTAAATTACCAGTTCTTCTGTTTTATCAAAGAAAAAAGCATTCCATCCATCAACCATTCTCTGTGGAATCTGTTTTCCATCAAAGATCTGCATAAAAAAATTAATTTTATTATTAGATTTCAAGTGATCCAACACAAAGGCCCAAATACTGTGGTATCATTTTAGAATTTACCTAAAAGACATACTGAAATACTTCTTCCAAAAAGAACATGTTAGAATGATGGTATAATTTGATGCCAAGAAACTAATGAATAAAACGTATTTGTAAGACCAAAGCTAGAAAAGGATATCTTAAGAGCATCAAACTCCAAATGATATGTTTGATGTTATTTGATGTTAACTACTTGGCCTATCAAAACACATCCAGTCCAAGAATACTGAAGCAAAATGAAAAAAAGAAAACGAAAACAGCAGTTTCATCAAAGGATCACAGATATAAAAATACAAAACAGATAATACCTACTGACTGTGCACCCAAAGGAAATCAACAGAACTGTTTTGGGACCTAGTATCTTTAATCATTTATCTGTATCAGGTAAGGCTAAAAATCAATTGGACAACCATTTTTTAAAAATGGAAAATTAGGGCTGGGCACAGTGGCTTACGCCTGTAATCCCAACACTTTGGGAGTGGATCACAAAGGCAAGTGGATCACAAATTCAGACCAGCTTGGCCAACATGGTGAAACTCCATCTCTGCTAAAGATACAAAAAAAATTAGCCAGGCATGGTGGCACGCGCCTGTAATCCCAGCAACTCCCAAGGCTGAGGCAGGAGAATCACTTGAACCCAGGAGGCGGAGGTTGCAGTGAGCCAAGATCACGCCACTGCACTCCAGCCTCACCAAAAAGGAATTAAGATGATTAAACAAAGCCTTTGAAAAATATGAAATTTTGTAAAGAGACCAAATCTATGACTTACTGGTGTCCCTAAAAAAAAAAAAAAAAAAGAAAGAAATTAGAAAGCTTTCCCTTACATTTTGATAAAGATTATAAACCTTATTAATTATAAATGATAATTCACTGTCCTAAGGAAGGAGAAGAAAAAATGCTATTTTACAAGAAGAAAAGTATCCCATAAGATGACTGTGTAACTGACTTCCACAAGTAATTGAGACTTTTATCTAAAGGAGGCTTAAGAAAGAGATGCGATAAAGTAGGAAGGTACAATAGATTCAGTCAGCAGACCTCATTTCTAGCCTCCATCCTGAGGAACAGTAATACTGGACAAGACCATCATCTCCCTAAATGCTCGGTTTTTCCAGTAAAAATGAGAAAAGGCTATATAAATTAGTCAGTAGTTTATAAATGGAGAAAACATACCACAGTACCTTTTCTTTACCCTCTACCCCAACTAATGGGTCGCAGACTGTATATAGTTAAACCAGAATACCATTTAAAACCACTAGATAAGGTGGGCCTGTTCCAATGGCCTTTTCCATTTTTGAGGTGACAGTAATTGATACTGGCCCCTCCAATTTTATTCTCGGATTTAAGTTATTTGTGGGTAAGGACTATGGCTTATTTCTGAAACCCAGAACCCTACTAGACCAAAGCCACGCAGAGAACACTTAATATATGTTTATTGAATGAACATATTTACTACATAAGTATGTTACACAGAGATCAAGTTTCCAGGGACTAGGGCTAATAAGTTGCTTTTTTATATTTAAATATTACTTAAATACATACAGTTTACCAAAAGTCACCTGGCATATATTCTGATATTTCATAAATCAAAAAAGTGAAAGACTGAGGCCAGGGGTGGTGGCTCACGCCTATAATCCCAGCAATTTGGGAGGCCAAGGCTGGCAGATCACCTGAGGTCAGGAATTCAAGACACGCCTAGCCAACATGGTGAAACCTCATCTCTACCAAAAACACAAAAAATTGGCCAGGCATGGTAGCTTGTGCCTGTAGTCCCAGCTACTTGGAGGCTGAGGCAGGAGAATTGCTTGAACCCAGGAGGTAGAGGTTAAAATGAGCTGAGATCGCACCACTGTATTGCAGCTGGGTGACACCATGAGACTCTGTCTCAAAAGCAAAGAAAAAAAAAAAAGTGAGAGAATAGCAATTAATTACAGCTATTAATATCTGAAACAAAAGACACAGGACCTCTGACCTCAAGAAAGAAGTGCAGAAGCCAGGCGCAGTGGCTCACACCTGTAATCCCAGCACTTTGGGGGGCTGAAGTGGGTGGATCACCTGAGGTCGGGAATTCGAGACCAGCCTGACCAACATGGAGAAACCCCATCACTACTAAAAATACAAAATTAGCTAAGCATGGTGACACATGCCTAAAATCCCAGCTACTCGTGAGGCTGGGGCAGGAGAATTGCTTGAACCTGGGAAGTGGAGGTTGCGGTGGGCCGAGATAGTGCCATTGCACTCCAGACTGGGCAAGAAGAACAAAACTCCATCTCAAAAAAAAAGAATAAAAGAAAGAAGTGAAGATATTAAGAGGCTGAAGTATATTATTTTACCCTTAAAGATTCAGATGCTATTATAGGTGTTTCGTGTTTTGTAAAAATATATTTATTTGCCAGATACTGAAATAAACAGGCTACCTCTTTAGAACCCTGTTTTCAGATAATTCATACTTCATTCGGAGTAACAAAAATCCAACTCTTTAGATCTTGATTGTTTTTAAAAAAGACTTCATACTTTTCAGTAATATCTATGATCCAATCCAACTATGTTGGCTGATAATGCAGTGGAGTAGGTCTGAGGGCCTTGGAAAGTTAACTCATCACTCACTTGGCCTATTCTTTTGAATTCTCATGTTTTACTAGGTTTAATTCTCCCCACTTTGTTTCAGCCCTCAGAAGTACTAATGCTATCCACTCTTTTACACACACACACACACACAGACACACACACACTCTCTCTCTCTTCCTCTCCCTGCTGTCTCTCTGTTCTCTCTCTCATTAAACACAAATCATCCTCCACTCAGCACTCACTCAGTCCTCCCTCTAAACAAATAAGTCAATCATAAGGATCACCAAATAAGTCAATCCTATGTATATAAAGAATGAGCCTAAACATTTCCACATTTCTTATCTTATTGTGATATTCTAATATGTACTGTTATATATAAATTGTTTTTTTTTTTTCTTTTTAGACAGAGTCTCATTCTGTCACCCAGGGTGGAGTGCAGTGGCACAATCTCAGCTCACTGCAACCTCCACCTCGCCAGTTCAAACCATTCTTGTGTCTCAGTCTCTCCTGAGTAGCTGGGATTACAGGCATGTGCTACCATGCCCAGCTAATTTTTGTATTTTTTAGTAGAGACAGGGTTTCACCATATTGGCCAGGCTGGTCTTGAACTCCTGACCTCAAATAATCCACCCACCTCGACCTCCCAAAGTGCTGGGATTACAGATGTGAGCCACAACACCCGGCCTAAATTGTAATTTTTTAGTTGCAGTAAAATACACAAAATATAAAATTTACCATCATAAACATACACTTCTTTGGCATAAGTATAGTCACACTGTTGTGCTACCATTACCACCATCCATTCACAGAATTCTTTTTTATTTTTATTTTATTTTATTTTTTAACTTTTTTTTTTTTTTTTAAAGATGGGATTTCACCATGTTGGTCAGGCTGGTCTTGAACTCCTGACCTCAGGTGATCTGCCCGCCTTGGCCTCCAAAGTGCTTGGATTACGGGCGTGAGCCACCATGCCCGGCCCCATTCACAGAATTCTTATCATCTGGTACAACTGAAACTCTGTATTTATTAAACTATTCCTATTTCTCCCTCCTTGATTCCCTGGCAACCACCATTCTATTTTCTGTCTCTATGAATTTGACTATTCTAGGTACCTCATATAAGTGGAATCAAACAGTATTTGTCTTTCTGTGACTGGATTATTTCACTTTGCATAATGTCCTCGAGGTTAATCCATTAAGTTGCCATTTTTAAGCTGATAAACGTTGAAAAAAACATTTTCATAAAATCATGTGTGAAGACCCCCAAATCTGTGTTGGAATTAATTTTTATGTGAAAATTTGCTTTTACTTATGATGATTTCATAGGGTACAGCAAAAATCTTCTGCCTAGGGAAGCTCCTTTTGACCTAAAGAACTTTGTATTGCTGACCATCAAAAAATTGCTCTTAGCTGAGTCATAGTAATGCCCAGCCACTTAAAGTTAAGTTTAATTACAGATGAAAGCAGACATCATTAGCTTCATTAAACATATCTTTACACTTAAAAGATGATTGATGCCTATGGACAAAACTTAAATTGATGCCAGAGCAATGGACAATGAGGTCCCATATGACAACCATTAAAAAAGGCCAGAAACAAAAATCCATGTATCATCAGTCTATCTCCATCTCAAAGTCCCTCAAAATCAAACTTCATTATGATAGGAAACATTTCATGAGCTGTCTCTCATTTGATCAATATAAGCAGATGTCAAACAGCTAATGAAAGAATTATGATAGCTGAATATGCTAGTCCTACCTAGATTTTTCCAATAATAATATTGCTGATGCTGCTAATGATCATAAATCATAATAGTAAAAATAATAAAAGCAAGCGCCATTTATGAATGCCTACTTTAGCACCTACTACATTCAAAAGCATTCAACATTTCTGTTCCTCATATCGACACTGAAATATTGTCATTATTACATTTTTAATGATGATGAAACTCAGACTCATGCAGATTGTTGAAGGCCAAAATGTTAGTATTAGGATTCTGACTAGTTACCTCTGCCTTCAAACACCATGCCCTGCTACTTCCATTACATCATGCTACTACCTCAGTGACTCCTAACCCATGAGTAAGGAGAGAATACAGACAAACCGCCAAAATAAACAAATTTGTGGTCCATTTTTGTTAATCATAGTATCCTGACAAAGTGGCAAATGATATTAATGGAAAAACAGTAAATACGATCCCCTATTTAAAGGCTAAACAATGATTAGAATAATACAGAGAGTAATACTGGCCTTTGCAGGCCTAATTAATTTATGGTAAATTTAAAATATCCTCCAGTGAACGAATTTGTTAAAAAACAAATCACTCCTAGACAGGCTAATTAAGAAAAAAAGAGAAGGTATATAAATGACTA